ATTTGTTTTCCTTCATAATAAAATGATAATATGAACAAAAAAACTTCAAAGTTTACCTATGTAAAAATCAAGAGGAGAAAACTCAGAAAATTATAATCAAGAATGTACTGTTGAAAGAAACACCAGTAAGTTGATTTTGGAGTGTGCTGATTTGTGAAGTTTAACAATAGTTAGAGAGTGAGCTACTTGGAAACAATTTGACCAAGGTAGGTAACAACCTGTTAACAGGTCAACATGAAAGATTAATTTACCTTTCAAAACAGTTTTTCATTACCTTATCATAATAAATTTAACTGGTAAACTTCATCAGTCACCTACATGATTTTCAATGGAAAGAAACTGCGATGATATGATGTAAATAAATCATAGCTTTGAAACTAATGAATACCAATTTCAGTAATATGTCAGACGTATTATTATAGTTACATTCATTAGTCCAAAGAGTACGTTTAAGCACAGAAATAAATTTAAATAAAAATATATTTATCTTACTACCAGGAATATCACAGAAATGTAAAATTAAATATCAGGTTGAGACCACCCGATTATTGTTACATACACTTGGGAAAAATTTAGATTCCAGACAAAAGAAATTATTCATCATCTTGCCTATTAAAACTATCTTGATATTCAATGATGGATGACAAAGAAGAAAATCTGATAGCCTTAAAACATCATATAACTATTAATTTTACTTTCCTTACTAAGGTTTCTATTATAATATTTTGATAAATAAACATTGATTTATCAGTATGAATTTTACTGCAAGTTTGCAGTTCAGTGGAACTGCTCACGTAATGTAAATCTATTTCACTTTATACAATAGGTATGTAAAGTTGAAACAAAATCAAATATTTGCTATAATAACTTTGTGTATCATTGTGTTAACTACCAAGTAACTTTCATTCCTTTAAAGGATGTGAGGCTTTAGGAAGTCAATAAAATTTGGTGTATACAAGAGCCAAATTTAAGCTAGAAAATGTTGTCTTCTGTCTTTGGGCCATACTGCAAAAATTCCTGTGAAATTGGTTAAATTATATTTAAAGGAACTATAGCCTAAATCTTCTCATAAAAATTGTTGATTTATAAAAGATATAACATACATTATAATACCAAGAGTTTTTGTAGGCTACCAGAACATTTTGAACCACACCTTTATTCTTATGTCCAAAGAGAGAATATACCTTTAGTTTCTTGGAATTTCAAAACCATCCTTCTCTCTTAGGAGAAGCCTTTTGTTTTTCTGTCCTAGACTTTGTCTGTCAAGGTCTCAAAACTTACAAAAGTCCTAGTGATCTTTTGGGATAAGACATTTACTTTATCATAGTCTGTGTGGAATGTACATGTGACAATTTTATCCTTGAAACTGCTCGATCTATTCAATCATCAAAATTGCAGTGGCATACTTCATCTGACATGTTGTATATTTTTACTCTACTAGAAGATTAAAAGCAGAGAAGCATCTTTCCTCTCCTAATCTAAGAATTCTGTACTATTAACTTCAAGTTATCTCTAAGTGCATTTTTAAAAGCCTAATATATTTCCCAGTTTCTTTCTCCTGAATTCATCAACTCTTTTTCTCTATCTTCAAGCCTGGAATAATCCTTTCCTCGTTGTGAATGAAGACCTTGCTTCTTGTACCACTGCGAATGTTAGATGCAATCAAAGGAAACCTGAGTGAATTCCTCCCCCTATGTATATCCTGTCACTTGCTTCTGGCTTTTGTGCCCTTATGTTCTGTTTTTATTTGTCCTGTTACTAAGGATCTAAAATCTTAGACCTTAAGCCAACTTTTCCTCTTGCTTTTCTACTCAAAGGCATAGCCTTAGTAATTTTTTTCCATCTACATTATGAATTCTTACCTCTTTGTTGGATAATGCCCTCAGGCTTACTAGCATGCTATAGTTTTTCTCATCTTAACATTTTACATTTCTTCCTAGAACCTCTCTCCAAAGTTCAAAATGCATATACTTAATTGCTTACTCTTCTACATGAATGTGCATTTTAAACTTGACATGTTCAAAACCTAAATCCTATTCTTTTTAGAAAAATAAATTTTTGCAGCCTTCTCCATCATTTTCCTTCTAGATGCTCAGAAAATATAATTGTGTATTTTAAAAATATTCAGAATGTAACTATATTTACTTCTTTCTCTGAAAACATGTACAGTGGCACCACCATCTCTTCTTAGCTGATTTATTGTACTTGCCTTCTAACAGGTTTCTCTGCTTCTAGTTTTGCTTTCTAAAATCTATTATCAATGCAATATTCAAAGGAATCATTTAATACAATGGCAAAGATGCTATTCCTCTTCTCAAGCCTCCCCTGGTTTTCTCTCCAGCCCATTAATACAAGACTAAGGCTTGCTGTGACTTAGTCTGGCTCCTCCATTCCACCCTCACTGTGTCTGCCACCCTACTTTTTTTGCTCACTCTGCTCCAGATGCTCTGACTGCCTTGCTATTTCTAGAAAAAGCCAAGCATGCTCCCGTTTTATGACTTTTACTGCTATTATTCTCTTACTTCAACCATTTTCCCTCATGCAATGTACATTCCACTGTATTATTTATTTCAAGTCTCTATTCAAATTTCATCTTATTTGGATCTCCCCTGACCACAATACAGAACATGCACACTTTCCAAATGGTTTATCCTCTTCCTATTATCCATATTTCTCCAAATAATTTGCTTATTTCCTATTATCTCTTACAATGTGGAGCTCCATTAATGCAGGTGCTTTTCCTATTTTGGTTCCTGATGTATTTCAAGGGGCCAGAACACTATTTGGCACGGAATAGATTATCAACATGCATTGCTGAATGGATTGGGCTATTTCAAATTTGCTGTCCCTTACTTCCATAATTCTAATTATTTAAATAGTCATAACTTTCTGGGCATAGGCTTATTTCTAGGCTGAAACAAGAAAACCATTAAGCCCACTGAAATAAGCTAATGTGCTTATAAGATCTTTTAGACACAAAGTATACTTTTGCTTTCAGTACTTATCTTGTTCTCATTGGTAACATTTATAGACTGTAGGGACTAATAGTAGAAATGTTATACCACATTCAGAAAGAAGAAAAATGAGAGCAATGAAAATAGGCTCATTTCACAATAAAGGATGATGGAGAAGAGAGGTAACCACCAAGTAATGAAAAAAGTAAAGAAATTCCCAGCATTCTGAGTTTTACAGGATAAAGAATGGAAAACTTGATAGTTATTAGACTTCAACATAAAACAAGATGACTATTCAAGAATATAATCCACCACTAAATAAATAAAAGAAATAAACTACAAGAATCAATTATATTGTCATTAACTGAATATTATATTATTTTTAGATTTACTACATGTACTTAAAATTGTTCTAACATAGGATGTAATTTAGACTCCAATTTTAAGATAACTTAATTGAAGAGCTACTTAAACAACTTTTCTGGAATTGTCCAAGAATATTAAAAAAAAAATCATTTGATTTTACCAGGAAAATGAGATGTTAATGTATTTTTTTTCCAAAGGTTTTTGTTTAATGTTTTTTTTTTTTGATTGTCTTACCAACATTAAGGTGATAGATGTTTAATTTCCAGAGCTGGTCCCATACCTTAGCACTGCTATCCGAAATTGTCATAATTGTGTTTGCATAGATCCTTGTGATATCAAAGTTATAAAGATCTTTAAGAAAAATGGGTCTAAAAATTGGATTAAACATTTAATCTAAAACATTATGAAAATCACCAAAATATTATTCAGTTATAAATCACAAATAAGGAAAGAGTAAGGAATCTGGATACAAAAGGAGTCAGTTTAAAAGAAGGAATCAACTAGAAGAAACTATAGCAACTTACCTATAATCCGTATATTTTAGACTTTCCTTGAACTAAGGTAAGTAGCTAAGGTATAAATATAACTGAATATTTTCTTACATATCCCAAATCACTACCAGTTTTCTTGCTCATCTGGCCATCTTTATCTCTAGAGCAATTACAATTACAACTATAATTTATATGCAAGTGTTAGCAAACCAGAATGTTATTCTTTTTCTCATTTGTAGTAGTGGCAAGTTAAAGTTAAGCAGCTAATAATTTCTCTGCAAATAAAATATCTCTACATATAAAAATTATTTAATTATTCCTAAAAGTATTTCATTTCTCTCTGTCTCTCTATGTGTGTATTTTTCTTGTTTCTCCTCTGTTTCTCTCCCTCTCTCTCTCTCTCTCTCTCTCTCCCCTCCCCGTCTCTCTCTCCAGGGTAAGAAGTATCTAAAGAAAATATTCTACAGTTTTATTTTGAAATAATTTTTCTTCAATAATAGCAAAGTGATGCTTTCATTCATTTATGTATTTAATCATTTATTTAATTAATATATATAAATATATATTCATTAAAATATATTTTATATTTTTATATATTTAATAAAATATATATCATCAAATAAATAAGTTCACTAAATAAAAAATATATATACATATATATCTTGGGAATAAAGTACAGCATACATGTTTCTCAAGTTACAATAATTAACCAGAAAGAACATGTTTCATTTAATCTCTGGTGACTAACTTCTAGTGAAGAATTGTGTTTGCTGAAGTATTAAGACTAAGATAGTGATATTGATTATTACTATAAGGTAGCATTTATAGAAAATAGAGTAATTACTCAATTGTTGGTGGGAAGTGTGAAGTGTGTGAAAAATTAAAATAAAATGATAAATCTTTATGTCCAAAAATTTTTATTGTGAAAAAAATCAAATAATTCAAACTTACATTACCCTGATAATTGTCTCAGTTTTTTTCACCCAGCAGATATAATCAAGAAGCCACAGTAATTGCATTTTTTTACTAGAGTCTTTCTATGCTTTTTAACTTCTGTGAAGAAATTCAATCTCAGTAACTCCTATAACTAATACATTGACTATTTATTACTGCTTTATTGGTCTGTTCAAGTGCTATAACAGAATATAAACTGGGTGGCTTATAAACAAAGCAAATATATTTCTCACAGTCCTGGATGCAGGAAACTCCAAGATCATGTTGCCTGAAGGTACAGTTTCTATAGGTATAAATTTGGAAACAGTTTGGATGGGCAGTTCTGTCCCAAGATCTCTCATGAAATTAAAGTGGAGATGGCTACTAAGGTTTCAGTCATCTGAAGGTTTAACCAGGGCTGAAAGATCTGCTTCCAAGGAGTTCCTACTGAGATACCAGAGTTGTTTTCCACATAAATTCCTCCAGAGGGCTGCCTGACTGTCCTCATGACTTTGCTTCTGTCTTCCTTTAGGATGAGTGATCCAAGAGAAAACAAGGCAGGACTGTCATGTCTTTTATAACCTAGCCTCAAAGTTACCCATCATTACTTCTGCAAGGTACTATTGGCTACACAGGTGGACCCTATTTAATGTGGGAGAGGAATACATAAAGGGGTGAGTACCATGAGGTGAAAATCATTGGAATGAAATGATTTATCATTGGTGAAAATCTTGGAAGCTGTCTAACATATCCAGAATTAATTTATTTACGATTTATTTGAAGTCTTTTTTATTTATAATCTGTTTTACTTTGAATGTTTGGTTATCAGACTCAGCATGTTTTCAAATCTGTTTTTCAAACAGATGATGTCTTGTTTGTCATTAGGTAAGTTTATCTGAAACCCTCAGGCAAGGCCCACAGAACCGACACCTGTTTTAATTCCCTTATTTCTTATGTGATCAAAATTGTGAAAAGTCCGTATTTCTTTTGAAAAATCAATGCTTGTGTTTTGTCTCTGATATTAGCATGTTTTCAGGCAGGATTTTTTGAAGTTAAATATATTTGTTGTTTAGAGATGACTTTTTGCTGCCCTTTAATTTTACATACAAGGGTACTAGTAGTATTCAGAGAGGTGAAATGACTAAGGATACAAATTTTGAAATAAAGTTTAGGTTTTCTGACCCTTAATCTTTAGTCTTTCCTTTACAACTTGCTGGTAGGTGGATAGTTTTTAATAATTGCATGCCTCTATAAGAACACATTCATAAATTTAGCATTAAAGATTTGTAGGCTTGTTATAATGGAACACTGCACAATGCCAGCAGCTATCAACTTTTCCCTGTATGGTTTCCTTCTTTTCATTATGCTGGAGTTTCAGATCAGCATTTCAAACACCTAAGGCAATGAAATGGGACTTACCCCAACAAGAAAACAAAAATAGGGAAAATGTATGAAAAAATTGCAATCTTACAAATATGTTGATATCAAAGTCCTGAAAACAAAAGAAAAATTTTAGAAAAATTCAACTGTATAATTACGGTGTTATTTGATATTCTTTACTGAACAAATAACAACGAATGACTATAGAATCATTTGACTTAAAATATATATGTATATATTTCTTTCAACATTTAATGTCAACTTAACACATGTAGATTTGCAAATATATTTCATTCCCTTTCAAATAAAGCAAGATCCTTCTCTTCTCCAACCAGATCATTTGTGTTATTAATAAAAGCAGCATGCCTAAGGGTTGAATCACTTCAGGAGTTGTGAATCAAGTGTAAAATGAAAGTTCATTTATGTGTGGAAAAACATGCAGAGAGAATAGCAGATAACCAACTATTGAACTTAGTGTGTTGACATATGACACATTTTGTGATTTTTTAGCAGTTCATCTGTTCTTGACTTTTTGTCCTTTACAATAAGATTATAAAACAAGAAAATACCCCAAAAAAAGCCAAAACAAAATAATATTATGTAATAGGTGTCTTTAACTTTGTTTTTTATCACTTCATCAGAATAACTAATATGTGGTGGCATATCTGTAAAATGGTCAGGATGGATGCAAAAAGAATTTCTTCATATGGCTTCATATTTCAAAATTAAGTGCTTTGTGAAAACAAAGAGCAACTTGTGTTCATAGTCAGAATTTAGCTTTCTAAATTCTTTTTGTGAGACAGTATAATTTCCTCTGTCACCTAGGCTAGAGCGCAATGCAATGATCACAGCTCACTGCAGTCCCCATCTTTAGAGCTCAAGCCATCTTCCAGCCTCAGCCTCCCAAGTAGGTGGGATGTCAGGTGCACACCACCATACCTGGTTAATTTATTTTTATATTTTGTAGAGATGAGGTCTCCCTATGTTGCCTACGTTGGTCTCAAACTCCAAAGTTCAAGTAATCCTCTGGTCTCAGCCACCCAAAGTGCTGGGATTACATGTGTAACCCACTATGCCCAGTCAGAATTTAGCATGTAACATTTAGTATTTCGCACCAAATATAACATCTCATAATGCAGCACCATTTGAAAATAAACTTTAATTTTAGAACACTTTTACGTTTACATAAAAATGGAACAAATAGCCTAAAGAGTTTCCAAATACCTAACACTGAGTTTTCTCTCTTATTAACATCTAACATAAATCTGGCACATTTGTTACAATTAATAAACCAATACTAATATATTATTATTAACAAAAGTACATACTTTAAAAAAAAGTTTTACTTTAATGACCTCTTCCTGTTCCAGGATATCATGTTACATTTAGAAAGGCATTCAAATAGAAAAATAAGTCAACTAACTGTCTTCACTGATGTTAGGATTGTATAACTAGATTTCCTAAAGTCTGTGACAGAAAGCTCCTAGAACTGATAAATTTCCTTAGTAAAATTTGAGGATACAGAATCAATGTACAAAAGTCAGTAGCATTTCCATATGCCAAAATCCAGGCTGAGGCTGAAATTAAGAACACAATCCCACTTAAAACAACCACAAAGAAAATGAAATTTTTAGGCATATAGCTAACCAAAGAGATGAATAATCTCTACAAGGAAAACACAAAACAAAATCAGAGATAATACAAATAAATGAAAAAAAATTTCATGCTTATGGATTAGAAGAATCAATATCGTAAAAATTGCCATACTACCCAAAGCAATTCACAAATTTGACACTATCCCTATCAAATTACTGACATCCTTCTTCACAGAGTCATGTCATGTGCTACTTTTAGCTGTGACACTTACTTTGATTTTCCTTGTTTATGATGACTTTGGGAGTTTTGATAAATACAAATTAGGTATTGTGGAGAGGGGAGTTTTGATAAATACAAATTAGGTATTGTGGAGAGGGTATTCCTATTAAAATGTGGCGTTTTTCTTTATATGTATGTATATATATTTTATTGTACTTTAGGTTCTGGGGTACATGTGCAGATCATGCAGGATTGTTGCATAGGTACATACATGGCAATGTGGTTTGCTGCCTCCATCAACCCCATCATCTATATCTGGCATTTCTTCCCATGATATCCCTCCCCAACCTCCCCAACCCCTGCTGTCCCTCCCTTAGCCCCCGCCAACAGACCCCAGTGTGTGATGCTCCCTTCCCTGTGACCATATGTTCTCATTGTTCAACACCCACCTATGAGTGAGAACATGTGGTGTTTGATTTTCTGTTCTTGTGTAGTTTGCTGAGAATGATGGTTTCCAGTTTCATCCATGTCCTTACAAAGGACACAAACTTATCATTTTTTATGGCTGCATAGTATTCCATGGTGTATATGTGCCATATTTTCCTTGTCCAGTCTATCATCGATGGGCATTTGGGTTGGATCAAGGTCTTTGCTATTGTAAACAGTGCAGCAGTGAACATACATGTGCATGTGTCCTTATAACAGAATGATTTATAATCCTTTGGATATATATCCAGTAATGGAATTGCTGGGTCAAATGGAATTTCTACTTCTAGGTCCTTGAGATAGCACCACACTGTCTTCCACAATGGTTGAACTAATTTACACTCCCACCAACAGTGTAAAAGCTTTCCTATTTCTCCACATCCTATCTCCAGCATATGTTGTCTCCAAATTTTTTACTGATTGCCATTCTAAGTGGCATGAGATGGTATCTCAGTGTGGTTTTGATTTGCGTTTCTCTAATGACCAGTGATGATGAGCATTTTTTCATATGTTTGTTGTCCTCATAAATGTCTTCTTTTGAAAAGTGTCTGTTCATATCCTTTGCCCTCTTTTAAATGGATTTGTTTGTTTTTCTCTTGTAAATCTGTTTTAGTTCTTTGTAGATTCTGGATATTAGCCCTTTGTCAGATGGGTAGACTGCAAAAATTTTTTCCCATTCTGTTGGTTTCTGGTTCACTCTAATGATTGTTTCCTTTGCTGTATGGAAGCTCTGGATTTTAATTAGATCTTATAGTTAAACTTGTTTGTGTTGTTGGAAGAAAGAGCAAAAATGCAAAAAATGACAATTTTTTTTTGTCATCCATATCATTGGCTGATTAACGTTATTGTAAATCTGTAGTCTGCCTATTTTGTGTTCAACTCCATAATGTTTCTATAAACCTTTGGACTTAAATCCACTTAGTATTATTACTCAAATGTGTGAGATTAGCTTGAGTTTCTTGAAATATAGATAATTGCTTACAGACTAGTTTGATACAATCTTTAGGCGTGTGTGTGTGTGTGTGTGTATAACCACATGATTTAACTATCATAAATTTTGGAACCAGAAGCCCTGAAAGTTGTATTCAACTTGATGACTGTAATACTGTAATATAAACACTGTCATTTCCATCAGTATTGTAAATCTATAAAGACTCCATGTTTTGTTTTCAATCGGAATAAATGTCCTAAGCTAGATTCTTATTGAATTAATTTAACAAATGCTTATTAAAGTATTCATTTGAATTTTATAATTCTATCTATATTTTTCTCTCACAACTAGTGAAACTCAATTTTGATTAATTTCTGAATATATTACAGAACTATACGCCTATTAATTCTGTAAAATATTTCCTGAAAGGGGAATTTCAGAAGACTTATACATAATATATATTACAAGCATATAAGCCAACTGCTCTGGACATGTTAACTAGATATGTGAAATGTAAGAGCCTTTATAATGTGTAATAAAATTTATTTTAAATATATTTAGCATTATATTTTAGATGCCTCATGAATTAATAAATATTAGGTAGAAAATCAAGTTTAAAAACTTTTCAAGTTATTTTTAAAGTATTTCTTTCTTTCTTTCTTTTTTTTTTGGACTCAGAGTTT